TGCATCATTCTCGCACTAAGCACATTGATGTCAAGCATCACTTCATCAGAGATCATGTGGAAAAGAAAGATATCAAAATTGAGTATATCTCAACTGAAGAACAACTGGCGGATATCTTCACAAAACCACTAAGTGAAGCCAAGTTTTCCGATTTGCTTCACAAAATTGGTCTAATTCAATTAGACTGAGTGCGGTACACGTGGCAGTTCACTTTCCACGTCTGTCAAAATATTGGGTAGGCACGTGGCCTTGGGAATAGTCAAAAACCCAATCGCCACTAGCCGCAAAATCGCCTAAATTAATCCAAATCGCCACCACTCAGATCTCAACCGCCCACTCAAAATTTTTTTCGTCGTCTTCTTCGCGAAAAAAACTCTCGAGAACACGCAAGAACCCTAGGTCTTTCTCTCTCAAATTCTCACTCAAATTTCTGAGAAAATGAAGGTTGTCGGTGCAAATGTCCACTTCCAGAAGTTAGAAGCCAAGTGCTCTTCACAGACATTCTTTGAAAGCTATCTGGAGATGATAGCCGCTCAAGAACTCTCCGAAGTTCTTCAAATGGAGATTCGCCTCAAATTTGAGGAAGAAGTTCTTGAATTCTACAGAAATGGAGAAGTCAGGACTGCTCATTCAAAGAAGGACCCACAGAGGACGTTTCTAGTCATCAAGTCCACTGTTGGAGGTACAAAAGTGAAGCTTTCGTAGAAGAAATTAGAAGAAAAGCTTCGCCTTCCCAATTCTGGAGTTGAAATTGGGAAATTTCCAGTCAAAAATCTGGACTGGAACATCATTGGAATCTCTGGGCAAATTCCTTCTGGCCCGGCGAAGAAAGCAGATCTAAACAACGATTACAAGTTGGTTTTTGAACTGGTCATCGCTTGCCTCGAGTGTGGAAGTGGAGGTCATGCCGATGACATCACCCAGGAGAGAGCCTTCATCATCAACTCTCTCATTACCAAAACTAAGGTAAACTGGGCTGCACACTTTTTCAAATCCATTTCAAAACATCTAGGAAAGCACAATCAGAAGTATCTCTGTCAAGGTCTGTATATTGGACGTATTTTGGAATCTATGGGCGCTGCAGTTAAAGGGAAAAAGTATGAAGCCAGATACTGGCTATACTACTTATCCTCCAAAGGAGAAAACAGAGCTAGTACTAGTGCCACTGCAGAAGAAAGCTCATCAGACAATGTTCCACTCATCAATTTGGCAAAGACTGCCAAGAGAAAGCATGTGGTGTCTCCCTCTCCAAGTGTTGAAGCACCACAGAACCTTGCTTTGATCTGTTTGGAAGAGGAAGAAGAAGTCTCTGACCATGGAGAACTTCAAAGGAAGAAGAAGAGGAAGATCAACTCTCCATCAACATCTGGAAATGTCAATCCGGATGAGTTGAAGGAGAAGGAACCTGTTGAGGAAACCTCTGCCCAAAACCGGAGCCCTCAACAACTTGAAGAAGAAACTCCTCAAGTCCAAAGCCTTCCAACCTCATCACCTCAACCTCAAATAGATGATGCAGATAACTAATTCTGGCAGCTCTACTATGATTGGAAAGCCTGGAAAGTTGGAAATTCAGCAGAGCAAGTGTTGAATTGGGACCAACAACTGAAGAATGAGAAGATCATCAAGAAGTGCTTAGGAATACCAGTCAACCACACCTGTGAACAAATTTTGGATTACTACTGGGTATGGCAAAGGAACCCTGAAGACTTGCATCTGGAATACGTGGCCAACACACCAGTTTCAGACTTTGAAGCAGATGATGAAGATCCTGCAGTCTTCAAGCCAGTCTTCTCAAAAGGCATAGAAGATCAAGTGGTTCTCACTTCTGAAGCACAAGGTGTTTTGGAAGCAGCAGGTGAAGATTTCCAAACACTTCCGGAAACCTCACATGCTTCTGAAATGGTTCTAACTGAAGAGAAGGCAACCTCTCCCCTACTAGAACAGAACCACAAAACAGCAGAAGAAGAAGAATTTCAGCAACTGGGTCAATCTCAAATTCTTGAGATTCTCACAACTGCATGTGAGATCTCCAATCCTAGAGAAATTGAGATCCCGGAGAAGTCAGCAGAAATTCCGGAACAGTCAGCTCTCCCAGAAACAATGGAGCAAGCTGTTGAAGCGCAAAGGAATTCTGGAGAAGCTGAAAAGGAAACTCAAATGGCAGAACTAGAGGTCTCTCAAACTCCAGTAGCCATTTTTGAAGAACAGAATTCAGCTGAAGAAAGAGACTCCCTCTCTAGGGATATATCAAATTTTGTGTTTGATGCAGCAGAAGGAGAGTCTGAAAGAACACTGAAGGTTACTGATGAAGAAGATGTACAAGAAGATGCTGAATCTCTTCCTATGCAACTCTTTCAAAGAACACCATCCTCTCATCAGGTAACCAATTTTCATTTTCATAGCTCTTCCACCCCTACACTTCCGGGTATTGTACCAGAAATCTGGACAAAGAAGGTCCAAGGGCTGATTGAATCAGCCCTAGAATCTCAACATGCCTCCTTTAGGCAAGAGATAGAGCAAATGGAAGTCAGGTACACCCAGCTTATAGATAAATCTGAAGAGAAACACAGCGCAGATCTCAAAGAAATAAGCAAATCAGTGCACAAGAATCTGGAGATTATCTCTCTATTGAGTGAAACTGTGAGCAACACGATGGAAATATATGCCTCTGACAGTCAACTTCAACTCAAAGAGATCAACAACGTCAAGGAGCAAATAGCGAGTGTCACAGTTGGTCTCCAAAAACAGATGTCCCTTCTCCAAATGGACATCAGATCAGCCCTAGCAGTAGCTTTTGCAAATCAGGTAGTGACCAAAGACTACTTGAAGGTGATCATTGACAATCAAAAGGAAGCATACAAGCTGTTCAGACTTATTGGCGCAAATTCTGGAAACCACAAGATGGAAGTGATTCTCCAACAACACAGTCCATCTCCAATACCACAGCTCCCTATTGCAGTCAAAGAAGGAGAAGCATCTTATATTCCTTCTCATCTGAACATGACAAATCTAATCCTTGAAGCACAGCAAAGAAATCCGGAAAACTCAGCACAGCATCTATCCAGCTCAGGACTGGATGGAACAGAATTTATAGGTACAGTTGTTGATCACTTCTCAAATGATGCTCAATCAGAAGAAAGACGCAACAACCTAAGGCGCATCAAAGAGCTATGTGGAAACTTGAAGGGCATGAGTGAGGTTGCCGGATCTTCAAAGCGCAAGAGAAACTGAAGGTTCTTTTCATCAAACCAGGGGGAAAGTATGTGAATACATTAATTTGTTTTGATGAAAACACCTTCTTGTTTAAACATTGCTTGATCGGTTTAAACATTGCAACATTGCTTCAACAATTTTCTTAATTGTGCTTATTATGCTTGATTATGCTTATCTCAAGTATGATTTTAAAATTTTTTTTCTGAAGCGCATACATTCAGGGGGAATGTAATTCAGGGGGAACATAACTAGTTTTGGCTAACAATTGTTTTTGGCAATGACTAAGCAATGGAAGAACGATATCTCAGTTTTGGTACTAAAATTGGAAATCTCCGATTCAGGTACTTTACAAAATCTGCCTTCTTAAACTAAGCTTTAATCTTTAATTCATTTCCAACTAGCTCTAAAAGTACTGGTCCTTAGGATTTTTATAATGTACAGGACTTTGGAATAATAGTACCACTTTTCTTTTAAAATTAAAATTCATATTTGTTTTGGTACTACCTCGTCCTATTTAGAAATTAGAACTATAGGGAATGAAAAATGATAGTTTTATTTTGGGCCTTGAGAACCCAATAGGAATAATTTCCCTTTAGTACATAGCTTTCTTTTCTTTTTGGGCCACTCTTTTGGGCTTAGCCAAACTAAATCAGTTACGTTTCTCAAACCATACAAAACTGATTTTCTAAATTGGAACAGTTTCAATTCATTGGTAACTGGTAAAAGATTCCTTCTACTTTTCAACTTCTTGGAAGTTGAAACTCCTTTACTCTCACCGTTCCAACTACTCACTTAAATGGAACCCGTGAACCTCCTCCTCCCCTATTTAAATCAAGACATTCCAATCCATTTCCATCACAAACAACTCTCTCAATATGAAAGTCCTCAAGTTCACTGTCTGAGAAAAACACCAAGAAAATATCCTCAATGGAGAAATTTTTCTTTCTCACCCTCATAGACGGCAATGGAGAAAAGCCTAGTGAGAAGGAAAGTAATTCAAAGTTTATGGTGCAATTCTCGGTAGTAGAGAAAGTTTATGGTGTAATTCTCGTATTTTTCAGGATTATACCATACACTTTCTCTGGAACAACACTCTCTCTATTTTTCTTTTTATTTTTACCTTGATCTCTTTCCCCTCCCCTTTCCTTTCTTTACTTTTTCTAAACTTTTTATTTTTGGACAGTCTCTGCACCCTTCTCTCAAGCATTTTTCTCAAATCTTTTCTGTGCAGAACCTGTTCTCTTTCTCAAATATTATTTTTTAAATTTTTTATTCCCTTCATCTTTAAAATTTTTTTTGAGCAGTCGCCACACTCTTCTTACAAGTTTTTTTTTTTAAATTTTTTGTGCTGCCTCTGCTCCCTTCTCTCAAGGAGTTCTCAAAATCACTTTTTCAATTTGTTTTATTCTAAAACTCTTTTTCAAAATTTCTTTTAATTTTTTTTTTGTTTTTGCCTTCATCTTTAAAAACTTTATTTTATCTTTTTCACAATCAATTCTCTTTTCCAAAACCTTTCTTTCTTGTCTTTCTACATTTTCTTTTTCTTTCATTTTTTGTTCTTGTTTTTGCTTTTTGAGAGATGTGTTGCTTCCAAGATCTTAAATATCCACTTTGGATATTAAAGATCTATCAAACGCAACGCCAACCGCTCCGCCAAGCAGAATCTGCTGAAGCTGAAAACGGTCAATGACGGAAGATATCACAAAATCTCAATACAAGACTTGGTTTAGGAATTGCTGTAATTTGAATTGTATCTGTTTAAGAGTTTTTGTTAACAAGCTGTATGTTATGAGAAACTAAAAGAAAGTTATAAAATTAGTTCTCAGTACAGCGACCGGAACTCTTAAACACTTGTTTGTCATCATCAAAAAGGGGGAAATTTTTGGGAAAAATATTATAGATTTTGATGATGATGTATTTAGAATGTAATAGGGACTCTAGGTCTCCCCCAACATTCAATGTAATTTTTCTTTTTAGAAATATTGTTAAAACCGAGTTCTTGAGATTTCCAATAAAGTTATGATATTTCTTTAAGCGTTTTGATGCCTGAAGACTTAATCAAATTCAGTGATGTGGAAATTGGATATCTTGATTGGAAATGTCAGAGACAAGTAAGGATTTCTCAAGCAGATGAAAATCCTCTGATCCGGAAGACTACAACCGGATGTCTCGCTACAACCCGCTGAAGGCTAAGTCATCCAAATCGGAAGACTAGCGCGGATCTCTTTCTCACCCGGAAGTCTGAGAATGACTCCTCCGGATTTGTCAGCTAAGAATCGGAAGACTCATTGAAGATCGGAATTCTCAGAAAGCGGACAAGTGAGAAAAGACTTAGAAAATTATCTAAGTCTTGAATGAAGAAATTCTACCCGTTGGTAAGGAAAAATCAATCTCTTGATTTTCAACGGCTAGATTGAAGATAATTATGCTGATTCAAGAACAAATGACTCGAAGACAAAGTCTGGACCTCTAAAATTGAAGAGCCTGTCCAGAATTCCTAAACAAGCACTAGAAGACAAACAGAGTAAAGTGCTACAGTCTTGAATTCTTGAACAACAGCTAGAAGACGGATTCTGTGGAAAAAGGAATCCTTTCTCAACAATTGGGTACGTCCAAACACCCACTTCAACAAAGAATCTTCAAATCACAATCTTNAAGAGCTATAGTGTAAACACTTGAAGGTTTCCTTGCCTCAAGTACCACACCACGTTGAAGGATACTACTTTTGATCAAACTTATTGATTAAAAGGGGGTAGGTCAACTCTCTTACAAGTTGATCTTGCAAGTCCTATTGTTCGGACGTTGCAGTTGTTGAAGAAGCGTGACCTTCGAAGGAACAACAAAGCCAGCACGAGTGCAGTAGCAACATTGGTCTTGCGAAGATATACCGTGCAGAAATTCACACAAGTGTAATTGAGGACGTAGAAGGATTACCCCCACCTTCGAACCTCGTTAAAGTTTGCGTGTCTCTCTCTTTTATCTTTACTCTTATTTGCAATTACATTAACTGTGAAAACTAACCCATCCATATTGATTACTGCTCACTCTACCCACCAAATTCCGCACACAATCTAAAGTTCACAAGGACTCTAGATTAACACTCATTTTCACGTTTTCAAAAGAAACGAAAAAGTTTTTAAATCTGTAACAAAGTCTATTCACCCCCCCCCTCTAGACTTTGTATCTCACCACTTTGGGACCACCAATAATGAATGTTGAAATTTGAATATTGATTATTGAATATCTGAACTGAACATTATGTGCATGATATCAAATGATTTGGTTATGATTGAGATTCTGTTTATATGGATGTTCGACGCATTAGATATGCTTACTCAGCTTTACCGCTGAGCGTATAGTATATATGTTTTATTTGCTACACGCAGGTTAATAGAAAGAATGATGTGACGTGATCTTGGAGGCAGACAGAGGTGAGATTGTCGGAATGGATGTGATGTTTTGAATTAAAGAACATAAATAAATTATGTTTGTAATTATGATTTGTTAAGCTTCCGCAATATTGAAAACTCTGTACTGTTTATGATATGAAAATATAATTGTGATAAATAAAAGTATCTGAAATGTTTTAAATTTTACAATTACCAAGTTAATACTTTAGTCCGAAAGGGGCTGCAGACCTGGACGGATTAGGGTGTTACATTTGGAACGTGAAACATTAAAAAGACCCTGAAAAATTATTTATTGTTCATCCGACGCTCAAGTTAGTAAGATAAAATAAAGAATAAATTAGCTCATAAACATATCCAAAATTCCAAGCTTGTTCTGAATGTGGAAGAAACTCTCCGTACTATGGGGTTTTGTGAAAATTAAATATCCGCCAATTGATATTTCGTTTCAACGTACAACTTCAATTGTGACATCTTTTTTGGACATGATTTCGTATGAAGTGATGCCTAATCCCTATGTGTAACACCCTCCTAGTAGCAAATAAAACACACTACATGCTCAATGGTGAAGCTGAGTAAGCATATATAAAGCGTTGAACATCCACATAAATTGAATCTCAATTCATAATCAACCACTTGATATCATGCACACAATATCACTATTAGAATAAGTTGAATTAGCTGCCAATGTTAGTGAGGGTCACGTAGCCCTCACAAGTTTGCGTCGGCTAAGCCGACACAAATAATATATTTATTTTTTTGTGAGTCTAAACGACAATAAAATGTAAAAATATTTTTTAAATTTCTATTTTAATTTTAAAAATATGTTTGTGACAGTTTATCCAACACATTTTAATGAGAAACTAAAAATGAATTAGTGTCGGTTTGCCCGACGCAAAGTTTATGTGGGTTTACTTGACACAAATTTTTTTAAAATTTTTCAATAATTTCTTTTGTCGGTTGGGCCGACACAAAACTAAAATTTTAAAAGCCCGCCCATTTGCTTTTTATTATAATCCCTTACCCGCCTAAAAAAAGGGTGTGGCCAGCCCGGTAAATTTCTCAATTAGTCTAGGATTGCTTTAATAAAAACAACCGTATAAGGCCACACGACTTCACGACTTCAATTCGCTGCTGCTGGCGATAGATTGAAGAGAGACTTCGGTGCTGCTGGCGACGGATTGCAGCTAAGCCCTGGACTGCAGCGGATTGCAGGTAAATACTACACCCTCTACTTCGGTGGCGACGGATTGCAGGTAACCCCAGCGGCCCAGGTTTTTACATACCATTCTTTTTGAGTTTATGAATTAGGTTAAATGACATCTCCAGTTTTTGAAGTGCATTCATATAAAAGTATTTTTACAACTCCAATTTCAATATTCAGTTCGAAATTTCAGTGAATTTTAAGTTAGAAAATTTTTTACGTGAATTTCAGTGAAATTTCGAAAATTCAGTGAATTTAAATATTCAGTTCGAAATTTATGTGAATTTTACGTTAGAAATCACATCTTCAATTTAAAAGTATTTTTACATCTTAAATTCCAATATTTTATTCCAAGTCATTTTACGATATATAATATTCAATATCTCAACGGTGCTCTTAAATATTCTTAATCTAGGCCCTTAGTTATTTCTAGTCTAAGGAAATAATTCTATCCAGGCTCTTAAACTATAAATAGTTTAAGGCAGAACACAAGAATCGATATTATTACCCTATGAGTCATGTGGATTACGTACCAACCGAACAGTGAACTTTTGGGCGGGTGATATCCAGCCTAGATCTCGTACCTACATTTTAACCCTGAATTATGAATTTGTCATAAAGGTATATCTTACAGTTCTTTTAGATATTCTTAATCAACATACATTGATTACAAATATATCCATTTTTAGTCATGATTAAATCATCAATAATCATTTTAATTAGTTGGTTCATCATTCACAATCATCCATAATAATTATTCATCATAGTGATTAATCAACATCACATTCAATAGCAAATAGCGGCTTATTATTGAGTGTTAACACCCAAACTTACAGTCATTAATCATATAAGATTTTATTTGTTAAAAACATCATTTTCATGGTGAAAAATAATTTATATATTGATCATAATTAATTGGTATCAAAAATAGGATTTTAGAACTCAAAAAATAGCATTTTCAGAATTATTTTTGGAGCATTTAGGTCGGGGGACCGATCCAGCACTTTGGATCGATCCTCCGTAGAAAAACTACTTCATGTGGTCGATCTAGTGGGGTGGATCGATCCACCCTGTTGGTTTTAGTCATTGTTCATCGTCTTCATCGTTTCGGGTCTAATTTCGAAATTACCATTTTTAGTTACCCAACTTCAATTAAACTATATAGAAATATTCTCCAAGGTTCATAGACCATTTTGGCATCATTAATTCATAGTTTTAACATCAAATTCAATGTTCATGATTCTTAGTTCTTCAAGTATGTCAAACACAAAACTCAACCAAATGACCATTTATGAACGTAAAAATGACCTATATGAACATTCTAGTCATTAGATTATGTTATCTACGGGCTTACCGCAGCTCGAAGCTTATCAGAGGTTTTGAGAATTTTCTGGCAAAACTTCTGACGAGGTTTGTGGCAAACTCCAACGACTTCACACCAAGTTGACAACACAACAATGCTCTTCACACTCAGCTCTCTCTTTTGGAATAAGAATGGTGAAGATTGGTGAATATTTGGGGGTTTATATAGGAAGGAGTAATGGGAAGAAGACATGATCGATGACCTCCCTCTTCTACTGTTTTGGTGTCTCAGTGGAGGGAGCGGTGATTTCTACGGGCTATAAACGCAAGTCCCTGATTGGGACTAATAATTTGGTCGAGTCGGGGTATATTTTTTGGTCTAACTTTCTCCGATGTGAAATCTGATTAAACTGTTGGAGTCAGATAGTCAAACTCTACATAATGATATAGTTTTCATTATTTATTAACAAACTTTTCAAATCACTTGTTTTTGGGTCCTTCTCAGTAATTAATTAATTATCAATTAATTAATTTTGATAGGCCTATTTTCGGGGCATTACACCCTAGATATCAAATCATACGTTTTCACTAATAATATATCTATGACATCTTATTTTTACTCATCAAGAACAAAATTAGAAAGTCAATCAAAAATATACGGAGTACATTCTTTTTTTTCTCTTAAAATTCAAATTAGGAACCATTTTATGAAACGAAAGGAGTACACAAGTTATTGACTATGGAACACACAGGTACTTAGCTAATAATAACGTAACATTAAAATTAATGAGAAACAGTAAGGGCTTGTTTGGGATTATCGTCAGAGATTAGCGTTAGCATTTTAAAATAATGTTATCTACGGGCAGCGTTTAGCGTTAGCATTATCAAAGTAATCTACACCGTTAAAATTTTATCCAAAACGACGACGTTAATCTCTAACTCTATTTTGAAACAGACACTAAATAAATATAGAAAGGAAAAGTTGAATAATACGTATATTTATTTGATCGGATGGGATGACATCATGACAACGTCAGTTCAGATTATTAATTGTATCATGGCAGTATACGAAATAGGATTACATTATACATATATCCTTACTACAAGGATATGATTATTGCTTGACTTGTAGGCTGGCTGGCCGGCTAGGATGGAGTATTTTAATTAATTAATTAATGTAGTATAATATTTTAAGGTGATACAAAAGCAGCAGTTGCAGATCGATAGGTTTGTCCAGCTTTCCAACCAGTAGGAATGACATTGGGGGCGATGAGATACTTCCCAGAGGCATCAATGAGTTTGAGAGTGATTGGTGGAACGAGGCCAGGGGCAGGGCAGTCGTACTTCCAGACAGCACCCCATGATCTCGTCATGCTTGCCCAAGTGCTGCTGCTGTTCCCAGAACCGCCTTGTTTGAGTTGAACACCACTCAGCTCTCCGTCTCCACTCACGTATTCGATCAATACAGCCAGGTAGTTGGGGTTGGAACCACTGTCCACCCCAAATTTCAGCTCTACTCCCTTGGGATATGCGCATGCAAACCTGCACGCATCCATGCACGCACTAATTTATACGGAGTATTTAATATTTAATGCCTCCCAAAAAATTTCTTTTCTTTATTTCTTTACCCGTCAACATTATGTTTAGTGGCATGTTCTGATATTGGTTAAGCAGATAACACAAAAATAATGACTATTATTGTGGGCTAGGATTTCGACGAAAGACCATATTTGTATACTATGGTTGTAGTATAAAGCGACTGTAATTCACAAACGATGGAAACGGAATAGCCTTTGGAATTGTGTATGACAAAAAAAATATATTATCATTGCGAAATTACACTTTTAGCCCTCAAATTAACACCAACATGATAGAAGATCAAAAAAAGGACTATTTGTGGAAAGATACCCATAAAAGAAGGACCACTGGTGTAATATCTGATAATAGAGGACTAAATAGGGAAACCCCCCTGTTATAATGGACAAAATATGGAATTTACTCTAAATTCTTTAAAAGTCAAAAATTGAAAAAATTTTGTAGGACAGAGTGAGTATACATATAATGGCCGGACCCGGCCGGGCTGGGTACATTTCATGAATTCATTCATTCATTACGAATTGGTGGACTAGCTAGATATATACGCCCTTTGTTTTTCAAAATAGTTCATCTTTCTTTTTTCATATCCTATAAAACACTTCTACTATGATAAAACGACTAATGTATTCAAATTAAATTGTTGCAATATATTTCCTTCGTTTTGTATTGATATAATAAGTTATTTAAGTGAATTTTCTCTCTTTTTTTTGACGTTTAAGACATAATTCAAAAGTCAAATTATGAAAATAAATCTAAGAGAAGTTAAAAGAAATATGAACTGTTTTACCAAACCAGAGTAGCTACATTATGTGTGTGTGTGTATATACATACATACATACATACATACATACATACATACATACATACATACATATATATATATATATATATATATGGGATTGACTCTAGTGAGATGACACCTTACGGTTAGATGACATGCTTCGGTGAGATGACGCAAAGCTCACCACATTACACTGCAAAGCTCACCAATGGCCAATGTAAAGCTCACCTGGAAATAAGGCAAAGCTCACCACTTTGAACACCAAAACTCACCTTTTTTTTAGTTTTGAAAATTAAAAAATTAATAAAAAATAAAGTAGCAACACCGGTCAAACACCGGTCAGCGGTGACGGTGCGGCGAAGACCGGCGGCGGCGGTCGGCAGGGGTCGGCGACGGCCGGCGGCGGAGGTCGGTGGCGGCGGTCGGCAGCCGGCGGTCGGTGGTGGTCGGCGGCGGCCGGAGGTCGGAGGCGGCAGGGGTCGCCGTTGATGGTCAATGGTCAAAGTCTAGTCAGCACCAATTCCTTTGAATTTTTTTTCCAAAAAAAATTCAAAGTGTTTAAAAAATATGGTGAGCTTTACCTTATAGTTTGGTGAGCTTTGTAGTAGTCCTTGGTGAGCTTTACAGTGGCCAGTGGTGAGCTTTGCATCATCTGATCATCTCACCGTAAAGTGTCATCTGACTGGAGTTAATCCATATATATATATATATATATATATATATATATATATATATATAGATTTTGGTTCTCGTGAGAATGCGATCTTAGGAGAGAAATGAGAATGAATCTGATGCTTAAGATTGTGCGATCTAAAGGTCAGGATTGCATCAAAATTAAGTGCAACAAAATGGTTTGAAAATGCATCACGTCGAAATGCATCATAATCCTTTGAAAATGCACTATCTCAAAATCTGAGCACAGGATGCAATCTGAGCCGCACGATGCATCAGATCCAACGGCTAGATTTCATTCTCATTTCTCTCCACAAGGTGCATTCTTACAGGAACCGGCCCCTATATATATATATATATATATATATATATATATATATATATATATATATATATATATATATATTATATATATATATATATATATATATATATATATATATATATATATATGTATATATATATACTCCCTCCGTTCCGTTAAACACTTCCACTTTTGACTTTTGGCAAAAATAAGGAAAGTGTAATTTGGGTTGACTTTCCAATTTTGCCCCTGATGTGATGGGTAAAAGTAAGATGTGATAGTTTGTTTATTAGAGAAAAAGTATAATGTGATAGGTAGGGTATGAAAAAGTAAGGGTAAAAGTGGTTTTTTATTAGAAAGTGGAAGTGTTTAGGGAATTCAAAAAAAACGAAAGGGGAAGGGTTTTGTGGAACGGAGGGAGTATATATATATATATATATACATACATACATACATACATACATACATACATACATACATACATACATACATACATACATACTCCGTACTTATTACATACATACATACCTTTGATATTGAATTTTGAGTTCTCCAGCATTTCGAAGAGTATCGGCTTTGCCAGGTAAAGCCAGGCCTCCAAAAGCAGTGCCACTCAAATCAAAATGGCTGGAGTCTGTTGCACACACTCCCCCTGATGGGCACTCATCAGTGATAACAACCGTTACCGGATTTCCTGAGCATGCTGCATTATCACTCGGAACACATTTCACCTGTTCGTTTTATATATATCCATGATCCATGATACATATATACAATGGCATAATAACTCATCAAAAAATGAATTGATATCATGAATTAACTAATTAATCACTCCGTGTGCGTGTCTGTATATATCCAAATATGTATATGCATGATGACATTATTAATTATATATTAATGAATTGACCTGGTAACAAGCTCCACAGCCTTCACCCTTTTTGAATAGAGCCGAGGCTCCTGCTGATATTCTTGAATAGAGAGGCGACTCCTCTACGCTGTTTGTGTATCCACAAGCTCCTCCTGTATATATATTCATATCCATACATACAATACAAGGTTTGGACGGAGTGAGCTCCAATTAATTTATACGAGCACCTACCTACTTCATGACTTCATGTACTACTCCCCCTCTCAAAAGTACAGATTTGACATTTTAATTATTTACTCCGTATAATGTTTGACCAAAGGAATTATAATTTTAATTTGAGTAAATTTCATAATGGATCCTTTATAACAGAGGGGTTTCCATATTTAGTCTTTTATTATCAAGTATTACCCTCGTAGTCCTTTTTTTAGGGGTGCATTTCTACAAATGTTTTTTTATCTTCTGCCATGTTGAGATTAATTTAAAGGCTAAAAGTATAATTTGATATCAACATTATGTCTAGTGACGTGTTCTGATATTTGTTAAGCGGATAATACAAAAATAATGACTATGATTGTGGGTTAAGATTCCGAAAAAAATACATTTGTAGACTATGGTTGTGGTAGAAAGCGATTGTAATTTACAAACGATGCAAACGGAATAGCCTTTAGAATTGTGTATGAAAAAAATATATTATCATTGTAAAATTGTACTTTTAATCATTAAATTAACACCAACATGATAGAAGATCAAAAAAGGACTATTTATGGAAAGATATCCATAAAAGAAGGACCATTGGGGTAATATTTGATAATAGAGGACTAAACAGGGAATCCCCTTTGCTATAAAGGATCAATTATGGAATTTACTCTATTAATTTATTTTTTTTAATAGTTTTGTAAAATATATTATTCCATAAAAGACACTTCCTGTTTATATTATTTAATTACATTATTTAAAATTTACATTAAAATATATTTAAAACAAGAAAAATCATTCTTTCCATTTTTCTCCATCACAAAAATATACGGAGTATTCTCCTTTTAGAAAAAACAATTATGATTCACAATCCTTTTCTACTAATTGTGTCTTTGAGCATTTGTTTAGTTTAAATTTTTACAATCAAAATTGATTAACTTTGACCACTAATAACATAAAATTGATATTAGATAATAATATAAAAATGTTTTTATTACATTTAGTTAATAAAATTTTTGAAAATATTAATTTATATATGTAACTAGTATATCATAACATTTTTATTGTATTCGAGATCAAAAATTGATAGTGTTTGACCGTAAAAGGTCAAATCTAGAGAAATAATCAGGGAGAAAGGTAATATTTTAAAAGAATTATAACTATGAAATTTTTTCAACACATTTTTAAACTTTAGGCTAAGAAAGTCATTTACGAATTTGTTTTACGAGATGGAGTGAATATATATGTAAGAAGAAAAGAAATAATATTGAAATTACTAGTTTGGAGAGAATGTGTTACAATATTAAGATTATTTATGACATTTTTTTGTTGGGTTGCTTTATTCTAAAAAAAGTAAAATAATATTGTTCCAATAACAGCAATTAATATCAACAATTTGTTTTTAGGCTATTAATATCGGCTATTTGGTTTTTTTATATTTAGATTTTGAGACAGATTTTAGTCTCTAAAATGAATAACTTTGAATTATGGCTGGCCAAGTTTATACACATAAGAGACGGAATTCTGTCTCCAGCTCGATCATTTCTATGTCAGCATTAAAAGATACGGAATATTCCCGTCTCAAATGAAAAGAGACGAAATTAATGAGACTGATGTATTCATCTCTTTTTTGTCTCACGTTCGAGACAATTATGAGATTAAATTACTGTCTCTTTTCTGCCTGCATTCTTGTAGTGATGTGCATTTATATACTTCCTTCATTTCTTAAAGTTGTTCCTATTTTGGCTTTTACAAGAACTAAGGGAGTAATATTTTTGTATTGGCTTTCCAAAAATATCCTTAATGTAATGGCTAAAAATAAGATGTAATATGTAGATTTTTAGTAAAAAGATATGATCTGATAGATAAGGTTAGAATCAGTAAATAAATATAAAAGTAATTTTTTTATAAAAATGAAAAGAATTTTATAGGACAAAGAAAAAATAGAAGGAGAAGGAATTTATAGGAGGAAGGGTGTATATACCGTCGCTTCCTGCACCATTGGCATCCCCGTACCATGTTGCGCTGGCGGCAGACCAAACAGCTGAGGTTAATTCAGATTTGGGTTTTGAGATATTAAACACTTTAGGATTGAAGCAATCGCACGAAATTGCAAGAATACAAAACACGGCGACGACGAGGAAATTCATGACTTGAGCCATGATTATATTATGTTTTCGAAACTTAATTGTTAAGGCTATATATATATATGTATAGCCGGTATAGGTGAGAATGTAAAGGATCGGTGGGTTTAATTTGATGAAGGAACTTACGTTGCATGCAAGCTGTTTTTATAGAGAGAAGGCAGTACATGCCAACGCTAATTAAGCCAGTAATAATTGAATATGTTCTTCATTTTAGTTTTAAAAAACAAACATTTAAACGATATGTTATGCTCCATCATGACTTTTATATATTAAATTATTAAAAACGAAAAATAGTGAGTAGAAATTAAACGAACAAATAGATGGCATGGACATCAGAGACAACCTAACGAAGTGTGTATTGACTTAAGAAATGTGTGTTATTACAATTCTAGACATTTTGTTTTAATGTGAGACGTACCTATGTACGACCCTTTGATGAGATATTGCTGGAGTTTCCACATCGAAAAATAAAGAGGAGTATCACTAGTATATATAGAACTGTGAAGCCCTGCCTATCAGCTTAAGCTTTTGGGTTAGAATTGTGGATCCCAACTTTATATGCAAGTGGTTAGTTTTACTTGATAACACTCTATCCGTTGTTCTCAGTCTGCCGGAATTTTAACAAATATATACTTTTTCATTCCTTAAAAATCTTTGATCCTTTAAATTTTGGAAAAATTTACACAAATACATACTCCCAAAATACGACTTTTTACGAAAATACTCCTAAATTTGATAATTAACACCATTGCTCTCAACTTTTTTATATTTTCACTTCATTACTCCCACTCGCCGAGTCATGTCCTACGTAAAAAAAGATGACTTACATTTTGAATACTCTTTTTCCATTTTAATTTTATTAAAAATGAGAGCCTTAAACCATCTTCATTGCATTTTTCATCTCCTTCATAATCTTTTTTTTTCAATTAATTAATTTTCCTCATAAATTTAAAATGTTTATTAACACTCCTGGAAAGGATGAGAATGCCTATTGGGTTTCCTATGTTCTTTATTATTATTTCCCTATTCATTGTATCTAGTTCCCTAGGCATGGAAGGTGTAGGTGTTCCTTACTCTTGTGTTTATACTCCTCTCTAATCATTGTAAAAGGGAAGCCAGAATAAAATACAAAACCTTTTGCACACCGGAGTTTTCACCAGTTTTCATGGTATCAAAGCTAACGGTTAAGTCTGACGACCTCTAATCTTTTCTCGGCTTCATCGATCCTTTACTTACTTGAGAATGGCGAGTGAAGATTCCCATGAAATGAATCTAAACCAGCAGCTTGTTCCAATGGAGCAGGTCTTACAACTCCTTCAACAACTCAATAAACCACAAAACCAAACCGAAAACACAAGCCAAAGCATCAATCTTTCTGAGAAGCTTACCCACACAAATTATGTGAAGTGGTCAAGGCTGATGCACGTGGCCATCAGCGGGAGGGGGAGGCTCAATCACATCACTGCTGACCCCCCCTCGGATGACGACCTAGAGCGCCCAAAGTGTGTCTAAAGGGATGCTCTTGTTGTCACCTAGATAATCGAGAACATAGATTACGATATCGTTAACCAGTTTCTTGACTACTAGTATCACTCCCGTGCGTTGCACGACTAACATTTCAAATATGAAATTGTCTAATTATGGTAATGTTGGAAAAGGTGCAATTAACAACAAATACTCCATAGATTATTAAATCAAAATATAATATTTAAAGAAATTTGAAGTTTGATTTTTTTCGTAAACTACATTGCTACCCCTATAAAAAAACTCCACATGAGTAGTACATCTAATGGTACAAAAAGAAATTTACGAAGTATATTATTTAGTAAATAATGAAATAAAAATATGCAGCAATCACTTACACAAAAACAAATATATAGTAATTAAATAAAGTAAATTAAAAACTAAAAAATTTGCATAAAATTTGATAATATTATAAATCAATTAGATTAGAAAATAACAATTTGAACAGTTACAATATGTTAGAAATTATAAACAAATACATTAAAAAAGCAAATGGAAGCTAGATATGAATTTTTATTGATTGCATTTAAAAATTATAGTCATTTAAAATTTGGATCATTTGTATGATTTAAAATTAAAATTCAAAGTTGAATTACACATTATATTATTTCTATCGAAATAATTGTGGCAATCCTACGTATGAAATAAATTTTAAAATTTGAGTATTAAATTCATTTTTAAACTTGGGTAGAAACTAAAAATTAATAGATGATAGTAATACACGGGGTAGAGCGAATATTATATAGGCGAGAATGGATTTGAAAAGGAAATAGACGTGCAAAAATGTTCATTATAAAAAATGACATTATGTACCATAATTACTAATAAATGTACACGTACTAAATGTACACTAAAATAGTAATATTTCTATTAAGCATGTATTATGTTAGGCATGGTAATAAAATACTCATTTAAAATGGTAAGTATTTAGATGTGTTTACTTGTGGAAATATTAAAGAATAATGCTAGAGTCACAAACAAACAGTTCACAAAATTTACAAACTTGTTTTTTTAAATATTTTTCTAGAAATAATATACAGTCTGCAAATAATAAAAGATACCGGGTATTTTATTTTAAAATCCATAAAAGCAAGTGTGTGAAATTTGTAAACTAATTATTTGTGACTCTAGCATTTTCTAATATTAAATAGTAGAAGCTAGTAAATGGTAATAATGTATGGTATATAATTTTTCTTCTTGTCAACCATAAAATTTTTAAAAGCTATAAAAATATATTAAAAAAAACTATTTTAAATTTTTAAACTGACATTATATAAAAGCTACATAAGATAATAATATATAAAAAATTCCATATTGAAACACTATTTCTACTCAATTTTAATTTTTACTATTATTAGCTTAGTATTATTTTTATTATTATTTCGACATAATATATGTTTGTCATAAAAATATCAACCGTGCGTTGTTAATTGACATACTTTATATTTATCATTTATATTTGGTGTATTGATCTATATTTCAGTTTATTCATAAAAATTAATGTTCTAGGAAAATGTAAAAATTAATGTATTGATCCTTACCATTGTTACATTAGTAACTGGAAAAAAAGTGATTTAAGTTTGACCGCGTGAATAATAATTGGGAAGATAGTTTTAGAACGGAGGGAGTATTATTTTAACATAATACATGCCTTACAAAAAAAAAATATTTCCCCCATAAAAGTAAATATATAACCGCAAAAATGTTTATATAATTAAATCCACATTAAATAAAAGCTATATAAGGTAATAATGTAAAAATATTTTTTTATAATTAAACGTATAAAAGGTATTATATTTTTGAAAATTTTTTTTGTGATTAAATTGACATTAAATAAAAGCTATATAAAGTAATAATGTAACAATATTTTCTATAATCCAATGCCTAAAAGGTACTCGTAATATATAATACCAAAATAATATTCCAAGGCTATTTCCAATGCGTAAAAGGTAATATTTATTACCAAAAAAATATTCCAAGGCTATTTATGTTCTTACCATTAATACATGAATGTTTGGGCGGGAAAAAAGCTTCCACAATTTCCCCTGCTTTTAAGAATAGTATAGATAGATATCCAACAGCGAGAGAACTATGGAAAGGTATTGAAGCCCGGTACAGCAGTGGAAGAGACCGTCGGAAAATATATGACCCCACTTTGAAGGCCTCTACAATTAGACAAGGAGGGGACTCCATTGAAGTTTTTTATGGAACGATAGTGTCAGTCTGGAAGGAGATTGATCGGAGGGATCCTAATCCCATGAGGTGCGCAGAGGATATCACCATCTACAGCAACCTCGTTCAAAAAAATAGACTGTACCAATTCTTGGCCGGAATCAATGATGGCCTCTATAAGGAGAGAAGGGACCTTCTTAACCAGGATCCCCTGCCCACAGTGGAGCAAGCATACACGCAGATACGCCGAGAGGTCATCAAACGCGGCATTATGGGGGCGGACTCTCCATTGGGAAATAGTCCCTCAGAGATTGGATCTAGCCTTGCAACAAAGGGAAGGCCGGAAAACCCCCGGGCCCGGAAAGACAGCAAAACTAACTTCATTTGCACCCATTGTGGTGGGACTCGTCATACTAAAGAAGGTTGTTTCAAAATTATTGGTTACCCGGAGTGGTGGCCAGAGCTGAAGAAGAGAGCCAAAGAAACTCCCCTGACCGAAAAAGGCAAAGGTGGACACAAGGACGGAAAGGCCAACTTTAGTGGCTCAGTTGCTGTTCCGGAGGGAAAGGATGAGACCGGAGGCATGGCAAACATCCAAGGTGAAGGTAATTATTCTGTGGGTCGATTACACGACCACCAATGGATTCTTGATAGTGGGGGGACGGACACCATGACGTTTGACTCAAGGGATATTCACAATTGTTCCTCCACTACCCGAGCTCACATACAGACCGCAAATGGTGAACTAATGACAGTAAACGGTGCAGGGAATGTGGATATAACTCCACAAATTCATTTGACCAATTGTCTTCTCATACCTAGTCTTTCACATAAATTGTTGTCTATTAGTAAACTGACTAGGGAGCTCAAATGCACTGTTCTAATGTTCTCAGGTGGTTGTATTGTACAGGATTCTCAGACGGGGAGGATTATTGGGCGTGGTACTGAGAGAGGTGGGCTTTACTACATGGATACGGTAGCTACAAAGAGTCACACACTACTTGCTCATGAATCCGTGGAAGAACAAATTTGGATGTGGCACCGGCGTTTGGGGCATCCTTCACTTGGGTACCTTAAATGCCTCTTTCCTTCACTTAGATCATCTGAAACGTCTTTGGAGTGTGAAACTTGTGTGCTTGCTAATAATCATAAACAATCTTATTCCCCTAGCTTGTACCACTCAAAAAAACCTTTTGAACTTGTTCATTCAGATGTGTGGGGACCTTCACCCTTGTGTGATAAAGATGGATTTTCCTTTTTTGTATTATTCATTGATGATTGTACTCGTATGAGTTGGATCTATTTTTTGAAAAAGAAATCCGAAGTCTTTGATGTGTTTGTCTCGTTCTACAAAGTGGTCCAAACTCAATTCAACACACAAATCAAAATCCTACATTCTGACAATGGGGGGAGTTCATTAATCTTGATATGAACCACTTTATATCACAAAATGGACTTCTTCACCAAACAACTTGTCACGACACACCACAACAAAATGGAGTTACTGAACGGAAAAATTGTACTTTGCTTGAGACTGCTAGGGCTCTTATGATCGAATCTAATGTACCCACATTAATTTTTTGGCCCGAAGCAATTGCCACTGCCAATTATCTCGCCAACCGACTTCCCACAAAAAACTCAAACTTAAAACCCCTCTTGATACCCTTAGTTCCTACACAAGTGTCACCTCTTCACATACTCTTCCACCTCGTGTGTTTGGATGTACTGTGTATGTCCATCTTCCTAATAGAAACAGAAACAAACTTGAACCAAGGGCTGTTCGATGTGTGTTTGTTGGGTATGGGAAGAACCAAAAGGGGTACAGGTGTTTTGACCCAATTCATAACTGAATGTACACTACAATGGATTGTGACTTCTTTGAGAAAAACTACTATAACAGCCAACTTCGGCGTCAGGGGGAGAACTCTAGTGATCACCTAAGCTGGCTGGCATATCCTGTTTTGCTGGACCATGACCTGACGAGGCAAGTTGTAGGCACTACTCCGTGTAATAAGGACCAGCTTCTGTCTCCTAGCCCCTCTCTTAGTCCACTACGCCCAAGAGATCCCACTCCGGATGGGGATCCTGCGCCTGAGGAGACCGTCGAGGTAAGCACTGATGATACTATTAATGATATCACTACCTCTGATCATGCCTTGACACAGGAACCAGCTTCATGCGGTATTCCCATGACCTACCAGCTCGCTCCAAGGAGCACCAGAGGGGTTCCCCCCAAGAGATATGATCCAGAGTATGAGGCACAACGATCAAAGTATCCCATCAGCAACAACACTAAGAATCTGTCACGATCTTCCGTGGCTTTCAATAATTCTTTGTATTCTACAAGTATTCCCAAAAACACTAAGGAGGCTCTTAATAACCCCCAATGGAGGAGAGCTATGGAAGAAGAGTTTTCAGCACTTAAAAAAACAGAACATGGGAAAAATGTGTGCTTCCAAAGGGAAAGAGAACAGTGTGGGTGTAGATGGGTATTTTCCATCAAATGTCGGGCAGATGGATCCATTGAGAGGTACAAAGCCCGCCTTGTGGCTAAAGGGTACACCCAAACCTATGGAGTCGATTACTCAGAGACATTTTCTCCAGTGGCCAAGCTTGATACTCATTGGCGGAGGCAGTGAAGAGTTTATGGGGGGCACAAATTTATCTAAAAAACAACAAAAAAAATTTCATAACAGTAAACATACCTTTTATTTGCACAAAGGAGTAAGAGTTCTTTTAGGCCGTAGAAAATTCTTCAGAGATGCCAACTTTTGAAAGCGCTGCATAGTAACTTCATCATCAATGCTCATAAAAATTTCTTTCTCAAAGTAGCACAATAGACAATCCGATAACATCTCATCTCCCAAACGATTGCGTAAATCAGTCTTGAAAATATTCATCGCAGAAAAACTTTTTTCAAATGAAGTTGTCCCAACAGGTAATATCAATGCCAATTCTATAAGCCGATATACCAAAGGAAAATAAGTGTGATAATTCATCTCCACCATCTTCTTTGCAAGACTTCCAAGATTGGGGATATTAGCAAAAACTTCATTCGATCTAATGTCAGAAATATAATTTTAAAGTTCATGAATAAGCTCAACTCGATCACTAGAACCGAAATCTTCTGAATATAATATAGCAAGTTCCAATAGTCGATCTTGATCAAAACTTGCAAAGCAATTAGAAGGATCAAGACACATTACACACTTTAATAAATTTGTGTTTGTCTCTGTGAAGTGTCTATCCATTTCCGTTGCAAGAATATCAATGACCTAACATCAAATAAATAATAATGATAATAACAACTTAACTTCATTCGTTATGATATCAAAATACTTCCAAAAAGTCTTATTAAAATTTAAAACTAATAAGAGTAATATACCTTTGCAAAGATCTCTCCACGAAAATGTACATAGTTTGTCATGGGTTCACCACCTCTCATCTTCTTTCCTGATCGCCCACGAAGATAATCTTCCATGTTAGGCACATCAATTGCATGTTCTTCACAAAATTCACTAACTTCCTTCAAAAAGTCATCCCAACCATGATCTCTAAAATCTTGCAAGTGCTTTTTTACAACACCAATCATATTCAAAGCACAACCAATGTTTTGATCTCGTGCTTGTAACATCTTTGATAAGGTGTTAGTCATACCTAGAACTTTTAACATAAACTTTCCGATAAAAACAAATTCAAAAGAATCCATTTTATCAAGAATGCCACTAGCACTGTTTTTAATTTTGGATGTTTCACCATGATTGTGTAACAAATTCAGCACTGTACCAATAGAATTCCACATATCAAAAAGACGAACAAGAGTTTTGTAGTGAGAGCCCCAACGTGTATCACCTGGTCGAGCTAAAGATGTTGCTTGGTTTTGCCCCCTACCAGTTGACAATTCACCTATTTCTATGCGATGCAAAGTTTCTTAGCTTCCTCGTGTACTTGAAGGAGATAACCTTTCCATTTGCATGAAGACCCAACTGTATTAACAATCATTAAAAGCTTTTCAAAGAAATCAAATATGCTCTCCTGTCTTGTGCAGCCGCAACAATAACTAACTGAAGTTGGTGGGCAAAATAATGAATATAGTATGCATTCTTGTTTTCATTAAGAATAAGTGTTTTCAACCCATTAAACTGACCATGCATATTTGAAGCTCCATCATAACCTTGACCTCTTAGTCTTGAAAGGGACAATCCATGTTTTGCAAAAAATTCATCAATTGACTTTTTAAGAAACTTTGCAGAAGTCTCCTCAACATGAACTAATCCAAGAAAACGTTCAATGATCTCCCCTTTATCATTCACAAATCTCAAAATTACTGACATTTGCTCTTTCACAGAGCAATCTCTAGCTTCATCAATCAAAAGAGCAAAATTCTTTTTTCCTATCTCATTCAATATGACATTTCTTGTTTCCATTGCACAACTTTCAATAATATCTCTTTGAATGGTAGGAAAGGTCATTAGATTATTTTTAGGAGCATTTATTTGCATCACTTTCTCGACAGCTGCATTAGTCTTACAAAACCAAGATATGAGTTCGAGAAAGTTACCTTGATGGATTGAGTCAGGAGATTCATCATGCCCTCTAAATGCTAAACCTTCCCCTAGAAGGTATCGAGCCACTTTTACAACTGTAGCTAATCGAGTACGATAATCATCTTCAATCACAATAGTATTAGTCGATAAAACATAATCGATGCTCTCTCTTTGATTAAGATATTGTTGAACTTTAATTCTACAATAACACTACAAGAAATTGCCAAAATTGCAACGAAAATCTGCTACGGAACAATTGTGAAATGGAGATCCTGAAAGAACAGAACAAACGCCTCCAAGAACAATTTGAAGTCCTAACCTCGAAGTTCACAACAATCCAAGAAGATCTAAAAAAGTTGCATGGTAATAACAACCCTCGTCGAGATGATGATGGAGCGGGGGGTCCGGGCAAGCAGAGGCTGTTTGTTAGAATGTTTGAATGCCAAAACTTTGACTTTAATGGGTTTTATGGATGAATAACATTCACTTAAACGTTTGTATTTGTTCTACTTTACGATGTGGAATTCTTTATATTTAAAATTTGATTGTGATTTTATTGAGGATATGTTCTTTGTTGTTCTACCCCGTATGAACTCACCTCACCAGTGAATGGTATTTTACTATATCTGTTTTTTAAAAGATGCTGTGCAGGGAACAAACCAGGTTCTGGTTGCTTATGAGTAAGATATTTGCGACGGACCAGCGACGGATCCCATTTTCGTCGCAGATTTAACATGTATTGCATTGTGAAGCAGCCGTCAAAATTTCCGTCGCAGATTTGCGACGGAAACTTTGTCCGTCGCAGATCGTTGTTTTTTTCGCATTTTTATCAAACCAGTTTCCGTCGCAGTATCAGTCGCTACGTATGCGACGAAACCACGTTTCTGTCGCAGATTTTGGCCGGGCGACGACAAATCTGCAACGGACGTCTTTGGTCGCAAATTTGTCGCTAATATGGGATCTACTACGGATTTAAAACATCTGCGACGGAAATTTCTTGTCGCAGAAATGACAGATTCTTGTAGTGTAAGCATGAGAACTTTCATTGGTTCCTTCATGGTCAACAAATGCTTTTGGACCATCTTTCCAATTGCTAAACCCAACTTGAGTAAAAGAATTTGATCCATTTTTATTTGTATTTGTAAACAAATAACAATGCAAACAATATGCTTTATCCTTGGCAACACTATACTCGAACCACATAAACTTATCAAACCAAACACTGTGAAATCGCCTTTTTTTGCCCGTCAAAGTTTGTGGAAAATTATGCACCAATGGTTGGCAAGGACCTTTTGCTAGTATCTTCTCCTTATGACATCTCTAATTTCCAAGGGATAACTATTGATTGGTTTTCTTAATCCCGGATCAGCAATAATATCATCATTTGAAATCACACTTTCATTATCTAGAGAAGAAGATGCTTCTTTTTCCTTGCCTTTATCATTTACAAATGCCAAATTCTTGGTTTTCTTAATCTCGGATCAGCAATAATATCATCATTTGAAATCACACTTTCATTATCTAGAGAAGAAGATGCTTCTTTTTCCTTGCCTTTATCATTTACAAATGCCAAATTCTTCTTTTCGCTAATAACAAATTTATCCATCCTAGATCTCAAGATTACCTAATTAAATAAAAAAATAAAAAAATGAATTTACATTAAAGTTTAAGAAATATTTAAATATCACTAAAACAAATTGGGAATCTGAACAAGGGAACAAATTAAAGTTCTCAAAAAATAAATTAACGATTTTCAAAAATTTAAAAATTAACAAATAAATCTCTAAATTGAATAATTGGAAATTGAATATACCTAAATAATGAGAGGTGTGCCGACTGTTGAAGGCCCTTTATGGCCTAAAACAGTCCCCAAGAGCATGGTTTGGAAAATTCACTAGGGCTATGAAAAAGTTTGGATATAGGCAAAGCAACTCTGATCATACTCTGTTCCTGAAGAAGATTGGTGACAAAATCACATGCCTAATTATCTACGTTGATGATATGATCATCACTGGGAATGATGAGAAGGAAATCAATTGCTTGAAAGGGAAGTTGTCTCATGAGTTTGAGATGAAGGACCTAGGAAATCTCAAGTACTTTCTTGGCATTGAGGTTCTTATATCAAGGCAAGGGATCTTCATCAACCAGAGAAAATACATTCTCGACCTTTTGGCTGAGACNCTATGAAAAAGTTTGGATATAGGCAAAGCAACTCTGATCATACTCTGTTCCTGAAGAAGATTGGTGACAAAATCACATGCCTAATTATCTACGTTGATGATATGATCATCACTGGGAATGATGAGAAGGAAATCAATTGCTTGAAAGGGAAGTTGTCTCATGAGTTTGAGATGAAGGACCTAGGAAATCTCAAGTACTTTCTTGGCATTGAGGTTCTTATATCAAGGCAAGGGATCTTCATCAACCAGAGAAAATACATTCTCGACCTTTTGGCTGAGACATGTATGCTTGATTGTAAGCCAGTTGAAACCCCAATTGTTGTCAATCATGGGCTCTAGATCCTTGAAGAAGCTCAGTTAGCCGATAAGGGTCAATATCAGAGATTGGTTAGGAAGCTTATTTACCTCTCTCATACTCGACCTGACATTGCTTATGTAACACCCCGGCCCCCACCCTGGCCGTAAGTGTTCGCTCATAGGATTGTAGACTGGCCCCACAAACCAACACAAGTCTTTTCCGCGCACTTTGTCCTCACTCGTGCGCGCCCAAGGAAAAATCCCAGGGGGTCACCCATCCTAGAATTGCTCCAAGTCAAGCACGCTTAACTCTGGAGTTTCTAGGTGATGAGCTCTCGAAAAGAAGATGCACCTTGTTGGTATGATTAGTACTATCAATCCTTTTGAGCCCTTCCCATTCCCATCTTGATATGGGGTATTACATTAAATGTAACACCCCAACCCGCGTGACCCGAATACAAGGACCAGCGGATCGGGTTGCTACTTAATTGGCATTCATACGCAATAATTTCCAAAACAATTTAAAACATTTACTTCAAAACAATATTTAAATATCCATCAGAGTAAATCAAAACGGTGCGGAAGCCTTTAAGTACTTAATCAAAATACAACTTTGGGTTCTTGCCCTTAAGAACACAATAATTCAAACTTAAATACTCCCTCCGTCCCACTATGTTTGTCCACTTTCATTTTTGCACACCATCCAATGCACTTCTTTAATCCATTTTATCTTATAATTTGTATATTAAAAAATTATAGAAATTATATATTAATAATCTATATGTTAAGACAAATCAAACAAGATCACACATGACTATATTTAGACTTACACATTGAGAGAATTTGATGAGTCAAAGTGCTTAGATGAACAGTTCCAAAAGTCAAAACTGGACAAACATAGCGGGACGGAGGTAGTATTAAATTAGATAACTCCTCCAGCCAGCATCCATCCATCATCTCGTCCTCCCTGCCTTCCAGGATAGCTCCTTATTCATCATTCTTGTTACCTACGTGTAGCAAATAGGAAAAAGGGCTACACGCTCAGCATTGAAGCTGAGTGGAATCTATCTAACGTTCGACTACGCACATAGACGAACCTACTAGCTCATAATTCCATACAATATCATGCACACAAGTATACAATATAATAGAACATAATAGTCACCAAATAAATTCACAAGTGACAAATCATTACCTTATTTCCTATTAATTCATAGCTCATAACATAATTACCAGACTAAGTCCATACTTCCATATTTACAACCTTATGTTCGGACTTAGAGTCACTACCTACGACCATGACTCAAGCCTACCTTATTTAATACCTTATGACACAACACAACCTGATGACCAATGAAGGAGTTCTCCGCAGGGTGGGTGGTACCCCTGTCCCCTTCGGAACGACAGTTCTTGGATCCCGTACGTACGTTTTAACCCGCAGCCGCCGGATATCAGATCCGCAGGGCTGATCCTATCTATTGACATTCATACTTACAATCTTACTAAGGCAGTCCTAGAGTTCCTCTAGGTAGCCTAATCATTTATTTACAACATCTCTATAGTTCAGACTTATTCCACATCAATCTCAGCTCCTTATGTACTTTTAAAACACAACAGGATTACATTTAATTATAACAGAAAGGTTACAATAATCAGGTAATCCATCAAGCAACTCATTTAGCAGCCTAGTGTCAGAAACACCTTCCACTTACCGTCATGCAACACACAAGGCATAGGGAACAATCCAGAAGTTGAAACAGAACAAACGGACGAAGAATCGATCGAACAGTCTGCCGGTCCGGTACCCCTTACGGTACCTCGGTACCGCCAGGCGGTACCTTGGTACCGTCGGTCCGGTACCCCCGTACCGTGCGGGCGCAGGTACCGGCAGTGGCAACCTTCTGTGGCGGTAGCACGGTACCGCTAGACGGTACCTAGCTACCGTCTGACGTCGGGAAGTCACCGGAACGACAGATTTTGATCCAATTCCAAACCATACAATATGTACAACGTTTTTAAAGATTATTATCATGCAAACCTACACAATTTAGAGTAAGAATACATACCTGTTCATCCTTGTTCAATCAATTCCAATATTATCATAAGATATAAATAAATCACAATTCAATTATAAACAAATAAACCACGTAATCAATCATACGAAACTACGAACGTGAATTTCAAATCTATATACGAAATCTAGCGTTAGATGTGCAAGTTCAGACCTCGATTAATTGGCGAATTAAACAAAACAAATTCTCAAAGAAGATATCGGCCAACTCGGCAGCAAGGCAGCGGCCACCCAACGGCCTCCGACTCGTGGCGGCAGACAGCTCCTCCGGCGGACGGCGGCGGCAATCAGAAGACCACTTCATGCGGCTCTGTTCTGTTCCCTTCCGCAGGTACTGACGCACTCCGTAATCCTTTGTTCTTCCTCTTGCGTGCGTTTGTGTTGGGTATATATATGTATATATAGTAATGGTGGGGAGGGTTTGGGAATCCTTCTACGGGTAGAATTAGGAGTATTATATTAACTTATTATTATTTTATTATAAAACCCTTATATTTACTTATTGAACTGTAACATCTATTTTACTCACCACGCTTCACACGTATGTCCAAATTTAACAAACTATATACCGTTGGTCACCATTTCTCGAGATCTATCCGAAAACCCAATTTTCATTTAAAACAGATAACTTTACAAATAACCCATATTTTAAAGTAAATAAATTTAATATTTATTTTTAATAAAATAGCGACTTACTACTAAGCCGGTTTTCGGGTCGTTACAGCTTATGTTGTAGGGGTGGTGAGCAGGTTCATGCATCTGTCTCAAGTCCAACACATGGAGGCTGTTTCTAGAATTTTGAGGTATTTGAAGGGAACTACTGGTATGGGCATATTCTTCAAAAGGAATGGTCACTTAAGTCTTCAAGCTTACACTGACGCAGAATGGGCAGGGGATCGTGATGATAGGAAATCCACCTCGGGGTACTTCACCTTAGTTGGAGGGAATTTGGTCACCTGGAGAAGCAAGAAGTAGAAGGTGGTTGCTTTGTCTAATGCTGAAGCAGAATTTAGAGGTATTGCAAAAGGGGTAACAGAGGTCTTATGGCTCCGAAAGTTACTGGGAGAGCTTGGATCTCCTCAAAGACAAGCGTGGGAGTTGTACTGTGACAACAAAGCAGCCATCAACATCTCTGAAAATCCTGTCCAGCATGATCGTACCAAGCATGTTGAAGTTGATCGACATTTCATCAAAGAGAAACTTGAGAGCAAGAATGCAAGATGATCAGTCTTCCCTTTGTTCGATCAAAGGATCAGCTGGCAGATATTCTCACCAAGGAATAAACCTTGATCTGAAATGCAGTTAGGAACCATAAAAGAATGCACTCTACATATAGATTTCCAAGTAGCTGAATCATACACTTTTGCTGTAAAGGAGCCATCCCTGAAATATTTCTGCTGCATATAAGAGCTCCAAATAGTTCCACCTTGCTGCACCTTCCACCACAAGTCCATAGCAGTAGCCCTTTGACAATTACCAAGATCTCTCACCCCTATACCCCCCTCTAGCAAAGGGAAACAAAGCTTCTCCCACTTCCTCCAATGGTATTTGTGTCCCATATCTCTAGCACCCCAGAAAAAGTTAGCCATAAACATATGAAGACACTTAACAATAGACCTGGGAATCTCTTGCACAGCCAAAATATGTAAAGGAATGGATGACAACACATGTTTGATCAAAATCAATCTCCCCATCTGATTTAGCTTTCTACTATACCAAGCTGCAATTCTCCTCTCAAACTTCTGGAGCAACCCTTGGCAATGGATCTTCTTGAGCTTTCCCTTAACAATGACAGAACCAAGGTATGTGAACTCCCTGGTATGACATCTGATGCCAAGGATGCTTCTAATCTTGGCTTTGTGCTCCTGCCTCATTTTATCATGGACAATCACCTGGCTTTTATTAAAATTTATAGCCTGACCAGAAGCATTCCCAAAGTGAGAAAGAGCAGCTTTCAATCTCAGAAGATTTCTACAATCAGCCTTTGTAAATATGACTATGTCATCTGCATAAAGCAAATGACTAGGGGCCATGGTTCTGCCAGAGGAAAAAGGGGCCAACTTTTTGGTGTGATGCAGATGATGTACCTGGTAAATCCCTCCATGGCCAAAATAAAAAGAAGAGGAGACAGTGGATCACCCTGCTTAACTCCACATTTCATAGGGAAGAAACCTTTAGGCTGACCATTAACCAAAACTGAGAAGAAAGTTGATCTCAAATTTCCCAACAGAAGATTAATAACCCTCTGTGAAAATCCAAATCTAAGTAAAACATGCTCTAAATACTTCCAGGATATCCTGTCAAAAGCTTTGGATAGGTCTAACTTAATGATACAATTCCCACCTCTTGCATTAGAGGACAACAGATGCACCATCTCTTTCACCATAAGAACATGCTGATTTATACTCCTGCCTGATTGAAAAGCTGCCTGCTCTGGGGAGATCAAAGAAGGGAGAACTTTCTTCAATCTATCACTCAAAATTCGAGACAGAATCTTGCTGAAAAAGGTGGATAAGGAAATAGGCCTAAATTGATCCAAAGTAATGGCACCCTCCACCTTAGGGATAAGAGTGATTAAAGTACTTCCAAAAGCCTTGGGCAAGGGGATACCCAGGAAAAACTCCTGCACTGCCTTAAGCACATCAACCTTAATTACATCCCAAGCTTGTCTGAAGAAGAAACCATTATATCCATCTGCACCTACAGTACTATTAGCATTCAATTTCCAAATAGCTTTCCTGATTTCCTCCTCATCTAGTAGTGACCCAAGCATAGCATTATCCTCATCCAAAAGAAAAGAAGGAATATGGCCAAGAATCTCCCCCATATCCCCTTCATGAATGTTAGAGAATACCTTAGTAAAATGATCCACAGCAGCTTTTGCAATCTCCTCTTGAGAGCTGAGCAAAGTCCCTCCATCATTCTTAAGAGAAGAAATAAAGAGCCTATTTCTCCTTCCCTTGACAAAAGAATGAAAGAAAGCAGTTGAGGCATCCCCTTGTGCAATCCATCTAACATTTGCCTTCTGGGACCAGAAGGCCTCTTCCTTCTTATGTGCTTGCTGCAGAAGAGCTGTTGCTAAATTACACTCAATCACATTAGCCTCACAGTCATCATTTTCAAAAGTCCTTTCAGCTGATAACAACCTCTCCTCTGCCTTGGAAACCTCATCAAAAATATTTCCAAAAACCTCCTTGTTCCACTTAATAAGGGCCTTCTTTAGAACAGTAAGCTTGACAGCTAAACCCCTCATGCCCCCTCCCTGGTAATTCTGTCCCCAAGTGCAAGCAATGAGATCTTTGAAAGAGTCATGAGAGCACCAAACATTTAAGAATCTAAAAGGTTTAGGGCCCAAATTATTATTAGGAAAGGCCTTAACCAAAAGAGGTCTATGGTCTGATAACCCACGACCAAGATGCCTGACCTCCAAAACTGGGAAAGAATCCATGCAGGATTCATTCAATAAAATCCTGTCAAGCCTCCTAAAAACTCTCCCCCGGCCTCTTTTACCAGTCCAAGTAAACTGACTTCCCAAAAAAGGAGGAGAGACAAGTTCACAATCAGAGATAGCATTTGCAAAATCTCTGATACTCCCAAGGTCTGGACAGACTTCACCCTTATGCTCAGTAATAGAAACAACTGTATTAAAATCTCCCCCAATGATCCAAGGCTCAGACCTAAGGGCAAGAGATCTAAGGGAGGTCCAAAGCCCCTCCCTTTCAACTCTACTATGTAGGCCATAAACACTTGAAATCCAGAAAGTGGAGGAAGATGCTGCATACTTGAAACCACATGTAAGAATTTGAGTTTCTTCAATAACAGTATGGAGAGATAAAAGATCATCCTTCCAAAGAAACCAAAGTTTATTATTTAAAGCAAAGAAACCCTTGGAGAAACCCAGCTTCAGTTTATACCATTCCAGCTGATCATAATCCACCAACGGTTCCAGAATAGAAAGAAATTGCAACTTATAAGTTTTAATAAGATAAAGAAGTCGAGGGAGAGAAGAATGTACACCACGAATGTTCCAAAAAAGACCTATTAGACAAAATATATAATTTATATTAATTCTGGGTCATTATGTAATTTGTCTTATAGTTAGATCTATATATATTCTGTAACTCTTTTCACTATAGTTTGGGGTTCAATTACAATTCCCAATATGGTATCAGAGCAAGGGTTCCTCAAACTCTAACTCTTTCGTCTTCCTCTTCTTAGCAATGTTCCAGAACGCACAATTTTTTTTTTCTCCCTTGCGATTGTGTTAAACAAAAAAAAAATTCTTTTCTTTCTCTGTGGATTGTGCCGTGCCAATCATTGGTCCACTACCAATTGCAAAAACACAACAATTACTAAATCTTATCAACACAAATTGAATACCACCGATTTGCCGGAAGCTGCTTAATTTACCCATGGCCAAATCTGATCCTCTTTCCGATTTACCTACGGGATTGAAGCTATTCATCAAAAACCTTCATTCATTGACTCCGGAGAAACTTGATGATAAAAATTTCCCATCCTGGTTCTCCTCTGTCTCTGCCAATCTGACTGCACACCGACTTTTGCCCTATGTGGATGGAAGCCGCCCTTCTCCTTCATCTACTGTCTCTGCCGTTGATAAAGAAGGCAAGGTCACGCTCAGTCCCAATCCGGAATATGAAAAATGGTTGATTATTGATGATCAATTGCGTGCTTGTCTCCTTGCCATAATCAGTCCATCTGTGCATCCCTACCTTCACGGACAAACCACCGCTGCAGCCATTTGGTCTCACTTGCAACTGCGGTATAATTCTCTTTCTCGTACTCATATTTTTCAACTCAAGGATCAATTGCATAATGTTCACAAGGGCACTGAGTCTATGCAAGTCTATTTGGATTCTATTGTTAAAATTGTTGCTGAATTGGATCGTGCAAAATCAGAGATTCCTGAGCAAGATGTGATACTGTGTGTCCTACGTGGTTTACCATCGGAATATTCATCTATCAAACAGAATATCCGAACTAATATTGCAAATATCACCTTAACTGAAGTTGTTTCCTGGTTGATACAAG